AAAAATAAAATAAAAAAAATTAGCTGGGATGGGGTGGCATGTGGCTGTAGTCCTAGCTACTTAGGAGACTGAAGCAGGAGGATGGCTTGAGCCCAGGAGTTGGAGGCTGTGGTGAGCTGTGATCCCACCACTACACTCCAGCCTGGGTGACAGAGTGAGACCCTGTTGCTAACAAAATAAAAACAAAACAAAAAAAACCCAAAACAAAACAGAGAGAGAAGGGGTAGAAAGAGAGACAGAAGGGAGAGGGATGCTTGGTCTATCATAGCTTTGTGTCTTTAGTGGGTACTTAACAAATACCTGTTGAGGTAACCTGAACTGAATAGTAAAAACTGGTCAAATGAATGACAAACAGTGACCAACGTACATCACACAGACCCTCTTTGGTCGAAAGCAACGACTGAGTGTATGGTAAGTGGTAAAACAAGAGAGGATGGACATAGAACACAATGAAAAGCAGTATGTGTCCATTCATTCAGCAAAGACTGATGTCTATTAAGTGCAAGGCAACGCTTCAGGATACACTGGTGAACATAACAAACAAGACGACCCGTGCTTCCATGGCATTGACATTCTACGAGGCGAGTGATTAACTCTCCAGTCTTTACACTACTCTTCCGTAAGACAGTAAAGATATCACTAGAAGTCCTCTAAAATTATTTTCCAAGCCTAAGAACCCATGTCTGACCACATTCCAAAGCAAGCCAGCCACTGCTTATTCTCTGTTTTTGTTTCCTTAAACTCAGTTGTACCATTACACTGCGTGACAAACAGCTGGTCAGTTTGAGTGCCCGTGTGGGTTGGGCCCCAAATGCTGTTGCGGTATCTTAGGGCATGGAGCATTGTTATCCAGAAGAGAAAACTATGCACGGACATAGGGAAATGCACTTAAGAGATTTAGAAAAAAATGGTGGATTTGAACAAGGGGGTAGGCAGTGTCACACCCTGCTCTCCTGGTCCACACCAGGAGCGTACAATCAGGGATGTTTTGCACAAACGAAATCTGGTTCCGATGGGCGGAACCCTAGAAGGGCGTGTGAAGATTGCCCCTCTCGCTCCGTATTCTCCCCAACCCCAGGACAAGGAGGTAGAGGATGTTTGACAGAACTTAGCATCTTAGCCGGGAAGGGTAGGGGAGCCTGACAACCGAGGGAGCTGTGCCCAACCCCGGGCGTAGAGACAGCACCGGGACCGAGCAGCCGCCTCAGCTCCTGGCGCCCGTTTGTCCGCCGCCACCAGGACTACTGGGCAGCCGCGGCCGAAGGCTTACCGCAAGGCCGGACCGAGCCCGGCTGTGCCGAGGCGGGTCCTCCAACACGGAGATGGGATGGGGCCCGGGCGCCCACCGCCACTAGGATTCGCCCCTCAGTAAAGCGTTGAACGGGAAGCGGCCGTTTCCTACCACTTCCCACATCCGGGCACGTGACAAACTCCACGCCGGAAGGTGACCCCCCGTAGAGAAGGAAGAAGAAGTCCCGGGAAAAAGGGAGCAGCCAATAGAAGCGGAGGGGGCGGGACGCCATCCAATGGGCGTGGCGAGGCGGGTCAAGGCCTCGCTGGAGGCGCCCGTCAGGGAAAGGCAGGGGCGGGGCTTCTAATACTGAAAGACTGGGCAGGCGAAGATTTGGTGCTGTGTGGTAATTCTTTTCTCTAGGAGAGTTATTTATTCAGATATTTGCAGCAATTCATTTAAATAGAGATTCGATTAAATTTTTCTATTTATCATATGTAAAGTTCTGTTAACTTTACATGCTTGCTACTAAAAACTTGAAAAGCTTAAGTTAAATCAGAATTCTGGAGGTGGGACCCAGACAGCACTACTTTTAATATCTTCCCAGATGATTCTAATATGCAGCTACAGTCGAGAACCATTGCCCTCATGACCTTGAAACTCAAAGTGTCGTCCGTGGACCAGCTGCTTGGACATCATCTGGGGCTTTTAAGGAAACACAGCCTGTCTGGCTCATTTCAGATCCACTGAATCAGACTCTGCGTCTTCAGCCCACAATGCTTATCACATTGACATCTGAGAGGCAGAAATGATGCCAGTGTTGCTGGTTGCAAGGTAGATGATTTATTTATTCCATCTTCCTAACTTGTTCTATGCCAGACACTTTGATTCCAGGTGCAAAGGAGATTCAGGCATGAATCCAACCCTGAAAGAGTTCACAATATGGTAAAACTAGACAAGGTATAGATACAAATATATTAAAAATAGGACACAAAATAGAGACCAAAGAGAGGTGCAGGTCAGATAAGTGTGCTGAAAATTCAAAGGAGCGACTTCTTTGCTCCTGCTCAACACAGTCCTTTGCCGGAGGCTGCAGGAATATATTCATGTGTGCATTTATTCATTTGACAAACAACCAGAGCCACCTCTATGCCAGGCATTGTGTTAGATGCTGGAGATACAAAGGCAGGGATCCCACTCAGAAGGAGGGCACACCCGCTGGGAGACAGAATTAAATAGATGGATAAATTACAGCCTACT